AAAACCTCAATTTCTCAACTAACTCATCTTCGACAAAGCCTCCACCACCAACCACTGGGGAGACGAGAACCTATTCAGTAAATAGTGCTGGGAAAACTGGCTGACCACATGGAGAAGATTGAAATAGGACCCCTACGTATTACACAAAAATTAACTCTAAATGGCTCAGAGACCTAAATGTAAAACCTCAAACTATAAGAACCTTAGAAAATGCAGGAGACACTCTTACGGAAGTTGGAACTGGCAACCAATTCCTGATCAAAACCCGAAGTGCCCAAGCCATAAGAGATAAGATAGATAGGTAGGACCTCATCAAACTGACAAGCTTCTGTTATTGTTTCTTTAATGAAGGTGAACTTGGTTTCTAACGAGTCACTGCTGATACCCAGAACAGCCACTGATGGCAAGTGTTACATAAGTTAATACTGCATTAGCTGTCTCTCTTATTACTGCTAGTTGATTTTTCAGTAGATTCTTTTAGTTTTGTAGGCTGACAATTGTAATTTTTATCTATTGCTTTCAATATTTTTTCAAATATTTAGCTTTTCTTCCTTGTCTTAATGCATTGACTAGCACTTCTAAGACTGTGTTACATAATACTGGTGAGAATAAGTAATTCTTATCCTGACTTTAATGGATATACTTTCAGCCTTTTGCTACTGCATATTATGAGTTTAATATGGATACTCTTAATCAGGTTAAGTACATTTTCTTCTACTTCTAGACTACTAAGTTTTCTTGAATCATAAATACTTATCGACATAATAAATACTTATTACCAGTGTATTGAATATCTGACAGGATAATCTCTCATTCAGTCATTCAATTCACAGATATTTGTTGAGTGTATGCATGTTGTGTTCTAAGCCCTAACTTTCAGCAGCTATGGTCTTCTTAAGGGTATTTCTAACCATGCTTCTTTCTCAGGTCATCTTGTCATGTCTGACTGAAGTTTTGATTCTCACTAATCCTGTTGCTGTGCCCTTGGAACAGTTGCTCTAGTGCCAATGGTTCAAGCTCCTGAAATCTACGACAGGGATAGTCGGTGTCCTGGCTTGCCCCAGGCCCTCTGGATAGGCCACAGTGGGGTTGTTCCTGCAGGGAGGAGGTGAGCTTAGGGCAGAAGATGAAGAGGACAGGTTTGTGAGCAGAAGCCAGGACTCAGCTCATTCCCAGGAAACTGAAGCAACAATACCCAGATTCTTAAGTCAGGGAAAGGTCAATTATTTAAATGTACCATATTTTAAAATTATTGTAAATATATTGATTTTTTTTTTAATTTTTGCTGTATTTCAGTTCTTCACCACCAGGAGTGTTCCTTGAGAAGGACTATGAGATTTACCGGGATTACAGTGCAGATGGCCAGCTTCTTCACTACAGGTAGAGACCACTGACTCAGGCGGGACCCTGTGTGCTGATGTGAGGGTGGCCTCCTTGGCGAGTCAGGTACAGGTTAACTGGAGAAGTGTCTGACTCAGCAGGAAATAACAAGTTGGAGGTACACAAAGAGTGGGGCCCAACATAGACAAGACCTCGAGCACCAGGAAAGGCTGTAGAGGCCAAGGACACCTGAAGCCTGGGCAGAGACCCTTTAGAACTGCCCCAGGCCGATTAGCAGCTCCTGTCTTGAAAGAACTGCATCTATGCCTAGTTTAGGCAGCCTAGAGCCTGTAGTGATTCCCTTAGGTCTTGATGAAGCAATGAGGTCCTGGAGGATTCTTAACATGAAGTCAACCCTGGGAAGCTCAGGCCACTTATGGGAGAGCACTTACCAGGCCCCATCTGTAGGAAAAGTGTTGGTTGTAGGGGAGGGAGTGAGTTTTTTTCTCAGCCCTAGCTCAGCCTCACAGAGTGTCAGTAGGTTCTAGAGACCACATCCAGGAATCTGGTGCCTTCACTCTGGGTGGGGTTCTCCCTCCGTCTCCTAGTAACTTCCATGTGGGAGCAGGCACCTGGACTTCTCTCTGTCCTAGTGATGACCTCTTTACTGTGGGAAACACAGGACTAGGTGCCATATCTGTGAGTGGCCTGGGTCCCCAGCATGGACCATCCAGGAGCAACATGGGATTGGGGAGGAATAGGAAGACCTGAGGAGGCTTTGGTGGTTTGCTCAAACAATTGAAAGACTGGAGCTTAGAAATGGTAACTGGATTTGTTTCTCAGGTTTGCGTTTGTTGAACACTAGGGTTGTAGGGCGTTGGGAATTTGAGCCTGGCCTAGTACCAGCAGTGTGGCATTTGACTATGGTAGGCTGCTTAGGCTTCCTGTCCTTCCATTTCTTATCATTGAGATGGGTCTGGGCAGCTGACTCGGCAATCACCACGAACTGACTGAGCTCATGATGGAAGTAGCATCCACACTGTGGCAAATTAGATCAGAGCTCTGGTCACCAGACTTGGTGCATTCTAGCAGACTGAGGTGACTGCACCCCTTACGGTGGATATGCCCAACTGGTCTTTGGTGGCCAAGCACTGCCACAGTCCTATCATCCCCAAGGTGCAGTCAATGGCTTAGATCATTGGCAATATCCCTGACATTATCTATGGGCACTTGTGGAGCTTTCAGGGAAGAGGTGCATCTTGCAACTGCAGATCTCAGATGGGCTGAACAGGATCTTCTGGGCATTTCCAGCTATATTGGGAGTGGGTGGCAGGTCGCTGAGCTGAGCCCACTCCAGCATCCCACCCTCTTCACACCTGCCAGGCCACTGTGGCAGCTTAGCCTCCTCCAGCCCTGTGGAGCTGCCTCTGCCATACAAGCTGACATACCAGCTCCTGGTCTTTACAGAGGTCCACAGCTGCTGTCTCTCTCGTGCCTTTTGCCCCTCTCAATGGCTTATCACCTTTCATGTTACTGACAGTTTTGCCTGTTGAAGATCCCCATTTGGGCCCCTGGTACATCCATGCCTGATGCTGGCCAGACCCTGCCTGATGCTAGGCAAATGTCTGCATTTCTGGGTTGTAAACTAATGATTGGGGAAGGAGTCCAGCAGCCCATATTGAACTTTCTTTGGGGTTCACCAGGCACTCTTTGGACTTGGTTGGGTAACAGAGGCCTTGCATCAGCCAGAACAGCCTAACTTGTCTGGTCCAAGGGGTGCTGCTATCCTGCAGTCCTGAGAAATGTTCCTTGGCCCTTGACCAGTGTAGGGGTGGCAGTCTGGTCTCATCTGGAGATATGGTTGGAGGTTTGCTCCATGCCAGGCAGCTCAACCATCCCCTCCTTCTCCCTCCCCTGTCATCATTGTCTCATCATTGAGGCCTTGGTACAGAGGTCCAGTGATATCAGAAGAGGAGACACAAGAGGATTGCAAGCCAGTGTGCAAGAAGGTTTCTGTACCCTAGAGTGACACATATATTTTTTAACGGGATGGGTGGAGCAGGTGGAGGAAGTAGATGGTCAGACCCTGTCCGAAGACATTCTCAATCCTCTTGTTGAGAATCTGCAACCTCTGTGTGTTCTCATGGTGAGCAGAGATGGGCCTCACACTCACCAGATCATAAATTACTTGAAAGCAGGCCTATGTGTACCTGGCTGAATCTGCCAAGCCAGTTCTTGTCATCAAGTCCAATGTTCTAGGGCTTCTGGAAAGAGAGAACTTGTTTTCTGGGGGAATCATAATGAGAGGGCCTGCCACACAGCTTTCAGAGAGCTGAACACAGTTATAGACGATGATGACATCTCCTGGGCAGAATGCTGAGTGTACCAGGATCCCACGTGGGACCACTCTTAAGGAGGTTCCCCCCCCCCTTCCTGGACTCCCATCAGGAGCAAAGCTTCACTCTGGACATACCAGAAGCTATGGGGGTATCAGCTTCCAAGGCAACACAGATGCTTCTGAAAAGTAAGGCAGGAGAGCTGGTGCCCCGCCCCACCACCAGCCCCCACAGTCCTGCAGGAAGGGCTGCCTTCAAATAACACAAGAGCCAACCAGTCCTGCTGGGCTTGGAAGGTCTTAGAAGTCCCATTCAGCCCCAGAGCATGCCTGATACTTCCTTTTGCAAGTTGTCATCAGTGTAATAGATTGGCATGATGCTGTGAGATGGCAAAAAATAAAGTCTCTGTGAAGCAAATTATATAAGAAAGCCAGGGAATTGACCCAACCCTGAGATGCTGTGGAGGTATACTACTGCTACAGGAAGTAAAAGCAAATTTTTTCTCGTGTTCTCTGCTTATAGGGGGACAAACAAAAACAAAACACCAGTTTGATACCAGCACTTAGGGGTTCAAATAAAGAGACCACATTTAGAAAAGCAGGGATAGCAATGGGGATGCCCCTAGCAGGCAACCCAGGAAGTTCAAGCCAGGAGGGCGTATCGGTGCATATGAAGTTGTAGAGGGATCTGAGGACTGAAGAGTGAAGCTGTTGTTCCAAGTATAATTTCAGACACATGGTTTCCTCTTGTGCTGTGTGAGTATAACTGTATCTGCATTTACAAACTTTAGTCTTTAGTGCAGTTTTTTCCTCTGAAACCCGCAGTGTCGAGTCGGATGGCTGTCAGGGTGCTGCTGCCTGTTTCTCCCTTGATTTTTCTAGGTGTCTGCACTTGAAAGAGCCGCTTTTCAAAAGCGATGGCAGTAGATAAGCGCTCATGGTTTTGATTTTGCATCTGGTTTTGTGCAGTGTTCTCAATTCTTCTTTTGAAAATAGGCCCTGGAAGAAATGGTCTGCAGGGCTTTGGGCTGAATTGAACCCTTTGTCCCTGCACCTGCCCACCTGACTCGTAGCATTTTCCAGAGTCAGTAGCCTCTTTAAAGTTTTTCCAACTTTCCTTCTGGTTTGAAAGTGTCTGCTGAAAAACCTGCGTTGGGTAAAAGTTGATTGTCATTTTATTTAGAGATGGGGGAGATGGTCCCTCTGCTCTGGTGCCCCTACCCTGCAGAGTTGGTGTAGAAATTAGGGAAAGAATGAGGAGGATGGGTTTGGGAAGTGTGAGGAGAGTACCAGGGTTCCATCTGCCCCTGGAATGATGGGGACAAGCTGGGCTCAGGAGAAGGGGCTGTCCAGACTGAGTGGAAAGAGCAGATGCATCCCAGGAGGAAGCCTGGCAGGTCATCCGAGGGCAGCAGGGCCCTAGGGGCTGCTCAGTGGTCCCAGGGAGGCTGGGGGCCAGCTCAGAAGATCGGGTCGAGAATCACAGTCAGTAGGACCTGGAAACTAGATGTGTGGCTTGGAGAGCTAAGGAAAAGGGCAGGTGGTGGAGCTGGGGAACAAAGGGTGTAGGACTGCAGAAAGGTCTGGGTAGACCCAACTCAGGAGCAGCCCTGGGGGTGGGCATGGAGATACCTGGACGGTGGAAGGGTGGAAACAGCAGAGGTTGGGAGACAGGGTGAGAGACCCCCTCAGAAGACACTCTGGGTGCCATGGGGGGTATGGTCCTATCTGGTTGCAGCTGTATCTGTTCTACATGGCCAGGGTGGTAGTTCTCTGGACCTCCTGGGATTTCCCCATCTGTGACTCAGGTGTCCTGCTTGGGCCTCAGCCTACTTTGAGGAGGTGCTCAGCACATGGACACATTACAGTGCTGGTCTCCTTTCATCAGCCCAGTGAAGGCATCTCCATGGGGGAGCAGGACCCTAGGTCTCCCTACCTCATTTTATCTCATCTCTGCCCTAACTGGATGGAACTACTCTCCTTTCCCAGAATAGAGCATGATATCTGACCAGCAAGCCTTTCTCATGTCCTTGACTCTCCTGACACTCACCTCACCCTCCTGGGTGCCTGCCAGCCTCTCATCCTACCTCAGTGGTCTGAGACCTACAGCTGATGGCCTGCCTCCTCGGGCCACAGCCCAGCACCTTGTGTTACATCCATCCATCACATCTTTCATAGGCCCTGGCTTAGGGCTAAGTCCATATCTGTTGAGTGATTAAAAAGAGTCACAGATGTGCAAAAATAATGGCTCATGCTTACTGAATGTTGTCTGCATGTCATTGCTGAGAACTGACAGGGAACTTCATTATATGCACATTATGTTATTAAATCTTTGTTATAACTGAGGAAGAAACTTAGAAAGATATTAAATGAAATACAGGCCTTGCAACCAGGGAGCCACAGCCTTTCATGCTTCCACATTACTCAGACAGTGGAGGGGTTGATGTTGCAGTCAGCCCTTGGAGTTTGGTGGCCCCACCCACGCTGGCTCCAACCATCTACTCCAGTTGTCTGGCCCCTGGTGGCCGACCAGGAGCAGCCTCTGGCAATCATGAGCAAAAATCCCAAGAACAGGCACCTGCACCCTGACCCCTGCCAGTGCCCTGACTTCTCACCTGAGCTGTGTGTCAGACCTGTAGTTCTGGTGTGCTTTGCTGAGTGGGCCCATGGAGCAGGCCACCTCACGGCCAGCAGGGAGTCTTTCTAGCCCCAGGTAATGGGGCGTAGCGACCTTGTCCAGAAAGACCCCATGTTGATCAGAGAGACAGAACTGGTTTGTTAAGATGCGTGGGATTTCTACTTTTTGCAACAGCAGACTAACTTATCTGAGACCATTTTCGTACTGAGAACAACTGGAGAAGTTGAGCAAAATATACAAAATCATTCTGAAATCATCAGACATACTGAGGAAGTGAGGACTTGAGGGACCAAGGTCTGGAGACCAATGGCCCTAGCACATGTGTGACACTGTTCCTCCCTTAAGAAAACCTGCAAAGCTGAGCAGCTGAGCAGACTTCTGTGTGGTTCCTCAGTGCAGGAGTTCCAGAGACCAATATCCAGGAACCACCAAAGAGAAGCCCTAGTTATAAGTCCATGCTCAGACTTCTTAAAGGCTACACCTAGGAATAGAGTGAGTCATAGTTAGACCAGCAAAACATGAGCCCGGCTTCCAATCAGCTCAGTCCCAGATGGGATTCAGGTGATCTGCCCTTATTCTGCTTGCCAGAAACAGAAATAAACCCAGAACTCAAATTAGCTCTACAATTTTCATACTTAATGACCAGGATTTCAGTCTAAAATTACCAGAATTGATTAAAACTAGAAACAGATCCACAGATCAACATTTTAGAGTTATCAGACACTGTATTTAATATGATCCATATTAAATATCAATTTAAAATAATCAAATTGATAATCTACAATTGAAAAATACAACAACACATACTAAGAACTCAATAGATGGGTGCTGTGGTCTAAATGTTTGTGTCCCTCCCCCCCAATTCATATATTTATATTCTAACTGCCAAGATGATAATATTAGGAGGTAGAGCCTTTGGGGGTGACTAGGTCATGGGACAGATCAAAGAATCAATAGAACTAATTAATGGGATTAATGTCCTTATAAGAAAAGGCATGAGAGAGGCCCCTTGTCCCTTACACCATTTGAAGACAAAGCAACAAGACACCATCTGTGAACCAGGAAATAGTCCCTCACCAGACACAGAACATGCTGGCACCTTGATCTAGGACTTCCCAGTCTCCAGAACTGTGAGAAATAGATTCTTGTTGTTTTTAAGCTACCTAATTTATAGTGTTTTGTTATAGCAGCCTGAGTGGAGTAAGACAGTGGGTTTAAGAGCAGATTAAACATAGCCAAATAGAAAATTAGTAAATTGGAAGGTAAGTCAGAAGAAAATATCCACTCTGAAGTATGGAGCTGCCAAAGGATGGGAAATGCAGAACACAACATGAAAACCATATAGTGTACAGTGAGACGGACTGTATATAGATCTAGAAGAGAGGAGAGAAGAAACAGGGCAAAAGTAACATTTGGAAATCATGTCAAGCCATAGATTCTAAGAAGTGCTGTGAATCCCAAATAGAGAACCACACCTGAGTAGCCTAGGGGAGAGGGTAGGTGGTGGAGGGGGCTCCCCATTTATCTCTCCCTGGACAATGTCCTGGGTCCAGCCTCCTGTATGGAAGAACCTGTGCCAACCTTGGGTTGGTGTGGGGCAAAGCACATGTTGCTGCTGTATCTGGGTGTCCACCCAGCAGTGCAGCCCAGGGGTGGTATCGCCCACGTTGTCAGTAACCTGGTGAGGCTCAGAAGAGGCTGAACAGCCACTATTACCCCCACTGAGAGGAAGGGCCAGGATTCAGACAGTGTGACTCCTGAGAACTATCAGTTCCCTTAGCCTGATGTGAGTGTAAGTGGGAGTTGGAGGACAGTTGTGTTGTCTGTGTGCAAGTGAAAGTGGTGACTGGTGTGGGGCAGAGTTTAGGGGAGGACAATCTTTTTGGAGTTAACAGGAGTCTCTGGTTAAAAAATTGAACCCTGGGATGCTGGTGTTGTGCCCTGTGGGGCTCACTTGGACTTCTAGGGTCATTGTCGGTTGACCACACCACTTGGTAGGAGCATGAAGTGTTGGGCCCAGGAGTGAGGCCTGTAGGTACGACTCAGGAATACCTGCATGGCATCCAGAATGAAAGATTCTTGGCAGGGCCATTCCCAGTTCTGTTACAGAAACAGCTCTGTGCCTTGTCACTGCCTGGAGACAGAAGCAGACAGGCACATTATAATGGGCATCAGCTGTGGGTGGGAGAGCCCCCCAGAGGGAAGGGCAGCAGGGCTGAGGCAATGGGTATGGAAGGACAGCTGTGGACTGCAGTGCCCCAGGGACAGCGCCCCCACAAGTAGGTGCACAACAGGGTTCACAGGGAGTGCAATGCCTGCAGCCCCCAGTGAGGGGGTGGGAGGACGCAAGAAACAACCAGGCTGGGCTGTGGAGTGAAGCTCCACCTTCTGGAGTAACCTATGCCTGTCCACCCCCAAGCAGAACCTCCTCGCTGCGGTGGAACTCAGGCACCAAGGAGCGCATGCTCATCAAGGTCGCTGATCGCGAGCCCAGCTTTCTCAGCCCCCAAGGCAATGGTTATTCCATGGACAGCCAACCCGGGGGCCGCTCCCGCAGACCCTCTGGCAGCCAGCATTCGCCCAGCCTGCAGACGTTTGCCCCTGAGACAGATGGTACTGTCTTCTTCCCAGAGAGGAGGCCCTCGCCCTTCCTAAAAAGGGCTGAGCTCTCTGGGAGCTGCTCTCCATTGCTGGTCCAGCCCCGAAAGCCCTCCAGTGACTCACAACCCTCCTCTCCACGCTACGGCTATGAGCCCCCCCTCTATGAGGAGCCCCCAGTGGAGTACCAGGCCCCCATCTACGATGAGCCCCCCATGGACGTGCAGTATGAGGCCAGTGGGGGCTACCAGGCTGGCTCACCCCAGAGGTCACCTAGCCGTAAGCCCCGCCCCTTCCTGCAGCCTTCCAAGCAGGGACCCCCCTCACCCTGCCAGCAGCTGGTGCTCACCAAGCAGAAGTGCCCGGAGCGCTTCATGAGTCTGGAATACAGCCCTGCGGGTAAGGAATATGTGCGGCAGCTAGTATACGTCGAGCAGGCAGGCTCCAGCCCCAAATTGCGTGCTGGCCCACGGCACAAGTACACGCCAAACCCTGGTGGTGGCTCCTACTCTCTGCAGCCCAGCCCCTGCCTGCTGAGGGACCAACGCCTAGGGATCAAGTCCGGAGACTACAGCACCATGGAGGGGCCTGAGCTGCGGCATGGCCAGCCACCTACACCACTGCCTCAGGCCCAGGAGGACACTATGTCCTGGTCTAGCCAGCAGGACACTATGTCCTCAACAGGCTATTCCCCAGGCACACGTAAGAGGAAGAGCAGAAAACCCTCTCTTTGCCAAGCCCCCAACGCCTCCTCCACCGACGGCCCAGGTGACCTGCTCAGCGAGCAGCCCCTAGCTGAGGAGCGGCCCCCATGCGGGCCCAGCATTGTTTCAATGAAGCGTGCAGAAGGTGAGGTGGATGGGGCACGAGGCACAGCAGAGCCCTTCCTGGCGCAAGCACGGCTGGCCTGGGAGGCACAGCAGGCACATTTCCACATGAAGCAGAGGAGTAGCTGGGACTCCCAGCAGGATGGCTCGGGTTATGAGAGTGATGGTGCCTTACCACTGCCCATGCCAGGGCCTGTGGTTCGCGCCTTCAGCGAGGATGAGGCCTTAGCCCAGCAGGAGAACAAGCACTGGAAGAGGAGCACCTTTGAGAAGCTCGGCTTCCCCCAGATCCTGCTGGAAAAAAGCGTCTCTGTGCAGACCAACCTGGCCTCACCGGAGCCTTACCTCCACCCCTCACAGGTGAGGAAACCATGGCAGGGCAGGAAGAGTTGGTCCCCAGGTCCCAAGAACCTGGAGCACTCAGTCAGGATGGTGCTCAGTGAGCCAGGCCCATGAGTACCTAGCATCTGCAATGTTAGTGCAGTACTTGGAGTTCCTGAAGCCTGATATCTCTGGGGCCCTGGGCACTCCAGTGGGCTTTGAGGATGTGGCTGGTGATCCCATCCAAAGCCCTCATGGGGCATAGACTTTTAGGGGGCTCTGTGACAGGGTCTTTCTTAAGCCTCAGATCATCTAGGAGCTGGAGGCCATGCCCCGACTCCAGGCCACAGTAGCACAAAAGAGGCCATAGTAGACCAGTTGGACAGCTGTTACCAACATTGTGGCCTGGGACTTTAAGAAGCAGGGAGCTAGAGTATCAGGTCCCTAAAGGAGGTTCCCTCAGGTGGGAAGAATTGAATGGGGCTGGGGCCCAGGGGTTCTGGCGTTTAGCAGCCGCAGCTGAAGCAGAGGCCAAGGCTGGCATATTCCCCATGTGGCACCAGGAACAGATGTGGTTCAGACCCCATGGAGCCCACACACACCTTTGTCCAGTGACTTAGTCCTTGTTCTCACCTCCTGACCCTGACCTTTCTCACTGGTCGGCCACAGGAAGAGTGTCTGCTCAGGCTGGAGCTAGAGCAGCTTCCAGTCAGTGTTTCTGTCCACTGCTCATGACATGAGAGGGAACAACAAGACAGTGTAGAGAGACATGGGGTGCATGGATCAGGATACCCTGAGAGCAATGCAGAGAGGGAGGGGCTTTCTGAAGGATGAGCCTCCAGAGTAAATGTTGAAAGAAGGGCCTCGGAGTTGCATGTATGATAGGAGTGGAGGGGATTGGGAACCACAGATACCAGCCTTGTCTAGTATGAATTACAACTTACTTTCTCTAAATGAAGATGCTAACGCTTTCTTAGGAGGCAACAGAATGAGATCATTCTCATCCCTGGGGATGCCCAGTGAGTGCCGCTCACTTCTTCCCTGCCTATCAGCCAGGTCACCTGGGTTGTTTGACAGCATGGCTGTTTCCAGATACCCTGCCTCACCCTGGAGTACAGGGCTCAGGCACCCTGGCCATGTCTGCTGGGTTGGCTGGGCTCCTTCTGGGTCTCCCTCCTAGAGCAGCCTTGCCTGTCTGGCTCAGTTGGGACCCCAGCTCACACCTCTTGGGACCATAGTCCAGGTGGGCCCAGCTCACACCCTCCCCCTAATAGCCCAGCTCCCATTTGTCCTTCTCAGTCTGAGGATCTTGGTGCCTGTGCCCAGTTTGAAAGCAGCCGGCAGAGTCGCAGCGGAATGCCCAGCTCCAACTGCGTCTTCCCCACCTTCACACTGCGCAAGCCCTCCTCAGAGACAGATATTGAGAACTGGGCCTCCAAGCACTTCAACAAGCACACCCAGGGCCTCTTCCGGCGGAAGGTGTCCATTGCCAACATGCTGGCTTGGAGCAGCGAGTCCATCAAGAAGCCCATGATCGTGACCAGTGACCGGCATGTGAAGAAGGAGGCCTGTGAGCTCTTTAAGCTGATCCAGATGTACATGGGTGACCGGCGGGCCAAGGCAGACCCGCTGCATGTGGCCCTGGAGATTGCCACCAAGGGCTGGAGTGTACAAGGCCTGCGGGATGAGCTCTACATCCAGCTGTGCCGGCAGACCACTGAGAACTTCCGACTTGAGAGCCTGGCCCGTGGCTGGGAGCTCATGGCCATCTGCCTGGCCTTCTTCCCACCTACACCCAAGTTCCACTCCTACCTGGAGGGCTACATCTACCGGCACATGGACCCTGTCAACGACACCAAAGGTAAGGCCCATCATTCAGACTCTGCTACCAGCTCAGGTAAGGGCCATGGAGAGGGTCTCTGGCCTGTGCTGGGCAGCACCTGGCAAGGTCCTTGACAGCCCCTGACACAAGGCCATGGCCCTGCAGGTGGGCTGCCTCTAAGAAGACGCACAGGTCTCCTGAAAGACCATACACCCTGGGCTTCCAATGGGATGTGGGCATCTTTTGGGAGCCTCTCCTTAGCACAAGTCAGATTCTGTTCCTTGAGAGAAGCCCCAGGCTCGGTGTCTGTCTGGGCCTGGGCTACGTTGCTGTCAACCAGGCAGCTTGAGCCCTAAGCTAGATGGAGTGAGCACAGAAGCAGGGCCATAGCCAGCCCTGTGTCTACAGCAAGTCATCCTCCACCCCAATGTCATGGGCACCTAAGGGGCACAGCCATGAAACTGACATAGATACGTGTGTGAACACATACGCACACCCTCTAAGTCAGACATACTATAGACTGTCCTGTGGCAATGAGAGTCTATATTGGATAAGTATTTGTCTCTCAGAGATCGGGCTCCTGGTCAGGACCTTGTGGAGCCTTGCCCTAGCCCGGGTGTTGGGAGAGGTGGCTCCCATGTTGCTGTAAGGCCAGAGCTGGACACACAAAGGCCAGTGCAGGGCAACCGTGAGTTCCTGGGAATGGTGTGTTGGATATAGGCTCCACTTAACACATCAGCTGTTTGTGAGGGGATTTTGGAAGCCATGCAACTTTTATCCCAGGCATGTACTTTTCAACACAAGTTAATAATAGAGGCAGAGCCTGGCAGGCAGACTGGGCTCCTGGATCTACAAGGAGGACCAGAGCCGGGTGCCATGCACTCATGGTCTGGCTCTGGCTCTGTGGGCTACAGTGGGGTCTCAGTGAACTCCACAATCCCTGGTCTTGGGACTTTCTAGAAGCAGATAGAGTCCTGGGGGCCTTGTTTCTGTGGGTATCATAGTTTACCTCCTCAGCCTTTTTCAAAGGGTCTTAAAATGTACCTAGCCAGGTGCAGTGGCTCACACCTGTAATCCCAGCACTTTGGGGGGCAGAGGTAAGAGGACTGCCTAAGCTCAGGGAGTTGAGACCAGCCTGAGCAAACTGGTGAGATCTTGTCTCTACGATAAATTTAAAAAATGAGCTAGGCATAGTGGTGCTTGCTTGTGGTTCTAATGACTTGGAAGGCTGAGGTAGAAGGATCGCCTGAGCCCAGCCGGTAGAGGCTGTGGGGGCTGTGAGCGTGCCACTGCACTCCAGCCTGGATGACAGAGCGAGACTCTGACTCAAAATAAAAAAAAATTTAAAAAAAGAAAGAAATGTTGTACCTGAGCTAGAGGCTGGGAAGCTATATCTTCACTGCCCAGCACAGCATGAGACCCACAGTGGGTACCCAAGAGTGAGCAAGTAAAAAGTTAGGAAACAGTCAGACAAGTGTGTAGCTGGGCCATTCCCGCTGGCCGGGGTTTGTGCTCTAGGCCACATTTGGAGCCCCCCAGGATACTGCCTTTCACACACAGGTTTGAGTGCCTTTACACTCACGGAATCCTGGCTTTGCATATAAGAGGGAATTGAGTTTCAGCTTCGGTGGTCATGCTTTCAAGGCCCCCCTCAAGTAAGTAAGGCCCATGAGGTCTCAGAGCATCATAGGGTCTGGGGCCATGAAGGGGGACTAGAACTCTGTGTGCTCCAGGTAGGTGGCCTGCATCCAGCCTGTGGCACTGGGGCCACCCTCACAACCAGAACCCCATTTCCAGTCCTGAGATTAGTTCCTAGGTTTGTCTGCTTGGCTTTGAGCCCAGAGTAGAGGCTTCTACATACAAGTTTCCTTCTCAGGGATGGAGGTCATCCCTCCAGCCAGTCCCCTGTCCCTATGTGGTGCCACCTTTCAAGTGCAAGCAGTATTGGTCAAGAACATGGGTCCTGCCACTGGCCACAAAGGCCCTGTCAGTTCAGGAGGATGTAGCCTGTGCTCTGGAGGACCAGATGGGCTGCTGTACAACCCTTAGAAAAAAGGAAACTATAGCCTAGAGGGATGAGCCACCTGCCTGGGGACACAGTGACGGGTAGAGCTGAGCTTGACTCTGCCCACTGTATTGCTCTGAACCACCTGCCTGCCTCAGCATCAGGATCCTTTTATTGATTCATCCACCAGCATCTGTGTGACTTCAGTGTGTTGCCACCATACCCAGGGACTGAGGCTCCAGGAGGTAAACCCCCACCCCAGTTTAGCCTTGTCTCATGCGTGGTTGCACCTTTCTGCCAGTCGCCAGCATAGAAGGGTGTCTCCCAGCTTATCCTTGCGACTGCCCTCCACACAGACAGGGAGCATACCTAGTGATGGCTACAATAACTTTCAGCTCTCCCACCTGTTCCACTTCTATGTCAACCCTTTGGAAACTTGCAAACCCTGAGGGGTTTTGTTTACTGCTCATATCTTCAGGCGTTCAACAAGGTTTCCTGGCTTCCAGTTCAAGATGGCAGATTGAACATGTGCATTTGCTTCTACTCTGCCTTGAACTCTTGCCAAAACATCAGTGAAGGAATTTTTAAAAGGCAAAAACCACAAACAAATGTAAAATGATATAACTGCTGTAAGAAATAGTATGGCAAGTCCTCAAGTAATTAAAAATAGAATTATCATATGATCCAGCAATTTCACTTCTGGGTCTATACCCCAAAGAATAGAAAGCAAGGACTCTAACAGTTATTTGTACACTCATGGTCATGGCAGCATTATTCACTATAGCTAAAAGGTGGAAATAACCAAAGTATCCATTGACAGATTAATGGATAAATGAAATGTGGTATATACATAAAGTCGGAAATTATTCAGCCTTAAAAAGGAAAGAAATTAAGACACATGCTACAACATGGATGACCCTTGAGGACATTATGCTAAATGAAAGAAGCTGGTCACAAAAGGACAAAAACCGTGTGAGTCTACTTCTATGAGGTCTCCAGAGCAGTCAAATTTATAGACAGAAAGTAGAATGGTGGGTGCCAGGAGCTGGAGGTAGGGAGAAATGGGGAATTCGTATTTAATGGAGACAGAGGTTTACTTTGGGAAGACAAAAATGACAGTTGCACAACAATGTGAATGCACTCAATGTCACTGAACCATATGGTTAAAATGGCAAATTTTATCTCATATATATATATATTTACCACAATTCTTAAAACATACAAAGACAAAGAAAATGGAAAAGAAACAACAGTTGTTTTGGAAGCTGGACACACATGGACCAGTGGCAGAAACTGACGTGGCAGACCAAGAAAGGTGAATCCTAGGCAGACAATGGGAAAACTGAGAAGCTGAAGCAGGTAGCAAACCTTTTTAAAAGCTTAAAGTAGGATAGAGCCAGATTTCTCTACCAGTGAGGGAAGGTAGTGATCCTGAAGCTGAAAACAAAGGGTTGGTTGAAAGTCTGTTTAAGAAGCAAAGCAGCTACAGTAGAGTGGGTGAGAGCATTGATTCTGGGTCCAGACCATCTGAACTCAAGTCCCAGCTACATTATCAAGTTAGGCCATAATCAGGGCCATAAAATGTTAAAGAATGTAAATCACAGAAAGTGTGCTCTCTGCTGGGTGTGGTGGCGCACCCAGCACTTTGGGAGGCTAAGGTGAGAGGATTGCCTGACCCCAAGGGTTCGAGATCAGCCTGGGCAATTTGGCAAGACCTTGTCTCTACAATAAATAAGTAAATAATTAACTGGGCTTGGTGATGCGCTCCTGTAGTTCCAGCTAATTGAAATGCTAAGGCAGAAGGATTACCTGAGCCCAGCAGGTCAAGACTGCAGTGGTGTGAAGTGTGCCACTGTACTCTAACCTGGGTGACAGAGTGAGACTTTGACTCAAAAAAAAAACAAAAAAAAACCCCAGCTGGGCTCGGTGGCTTAGCCTGTAATCCCAACACTTTGGAAAGCCGAGGATTTCCTGAATTGCCTGAGCCCGCAGATTCAAGACCTCATCTCTACAATAAATAAAAAACTAGCTGGGCATGGTAGCACATGCCTGTGGTACCATGCCTGTGGTAGTTCCAGGTACTTGGAAGACTGAGGCATAAGGATCACTGGAGCCCAGCAGGTCGACACTGGGGTGGCTGTGAGTGTGCCACTGCACACCAGCCTGGGTGACAGAGTGAGATTTCAACTCAAAAAAAAAAACACCCAGGCGTGGTGATTCATGCCTGTAATGCCAGCATTTTGGAAGACAGAGGCAAGAGGATTGTCTGAGGCCAGAGATTCGAGACCAGCCTGGGCAACTTGGCAAGCCCTCATCTCTATAGTAAATTAAAAAGTTATCTAGGGCCGGGCACAGTGGTTCAGCCTGTAATCCCAGCACTTTGGAAAGCCAAGGTGAGTGGATTGCCTGAGCCCCGCAGGTTCAAGACCAGCCTGGACAACTTGGCGAGACCTTGTCTCTACAATAAATAAATAACTAGCTGGGCATGGTAGTGCGTACCTGTAATTCCGGCTACTTAGAAGACTGATGCGTAAGGATCAGAGACCAGCAGGTCAGTGCTGGGGTGGCTGTGAGTGTGCCACTGTACTTCAGCCTGGGTGACAGAGTGAGATTCCAACTCAAAAAAAAAAAAAAACACCCAAGAGCAGTTATTCACACCCGTAATGCCAGCATTTTGGAAGACAGAGGCAAGAAGAATGTCTGAGGTCAGAGGTTCAAGACCAACCTGGGAAACTTGGTGAGCCCTCATCTCTATAGTAAATTTAAAAATTATTTGGGGCTGGAAGCAGTGGCTTAGCCTGTAATCCCAGCACTTTGGGAGGCCAAGGTGAGAGGATTGCCTGAGCCCAGTGGTTCGAAACCGCCTGGGTAATTTGGTGAGACCTTGTTTCTACAATAAATCACAAAAACTAGCTGGGTGTAGTGGCGTGCGTCTGTAGTTCCAGCTACTTGGAAGGGTGAGGCAGAAGGATCGCCGGAGCCCACAGGGTAAGGCTGCAGTGGCCAGGAGCGAGCCACTGCACTCCAGTCTGGG